CCCAGGTACCCGGTGCCAATGTTTCGGCAAAGGAGGCCCCTGATTTGGTTTTTTCTTCTTTTCACATCTGTAAGGTGCCTATATGGGCTTCCAGTATCGGACCTTCAAGATATGCGCTTTTGGCCGGTGGCCTCTTCGGACATGGTACCTCCGGTGAGATAGTGGCTGCCAGTTCGAGACTGGGGCCGATCGAACTTGAGTTGTTCGGAGGAGGAATCCGGCCAGCACGGGTACAAAGAGGGGTACCCGGAGAATCCCCAGCTGCGGAAACGTAGTGTCGCTCAAGAGGTGCGATACTGCGGGGGAGTGTAAGGTGCCTATATGGGCTTCCAGTATCGGACCTTCAAGATATGCGCTTTTGGCCGGTGGCCTCTTCGGACAACATCGCCCCTTTAGCACCCTGTTCCACACCGTTGAGCGGCTCGGGCTCCCCCTCCCCTCCCCGCTGCCCGGCGCGGCGTGAGAGGCAGCACTCTTAGCGAGAGCACCCGTGGAGCACATGTTCTGTTCTCTGTGCGAGAACCGAGCCGCGACCTATCTCATTTTGAGATTTGAGTCGGCGGCGGCGGGGGAGGCTGCCGGTCCCCGCCGGATTCCTTCCGGGGCGGGGCCGGAAGTTGGGCCGGAGGGGCCGAGGGGGGGGGGGGGGGAGACAAGCGAGGTGCGCGAGGCACCTGCGCGGCGGACAGCTGCTCCACGCCCGCGAGCCGCAGGCCGGTGAGGGCGACCCCCTCCTCCTCGAGCTCGCCCGCCGGCCGCGTGAACTTGAGCGTGCTGCGCCGCTCCGCCGCCCGCCGCTCGATGTCGACGAGCTCGAGCCAGTGCCGCCTATTCACAGCTGCAGGTGTGAAGAGACGCTGTTCACAGCATGCAGAGCTCGAGCCAGTGCCGCCCGTAGCTCAGCTGGAGGGGGCTGAGGTGGCCTGCGGCAGGCGCACGCCGGAGTCGGCGCGGGGAGACGGTGCCGTGTGCTCAGAGCATTGCGTGGGCATACGGGCTGCGAACACAGCCGGGTAGAGCGGGGACAGCGGAGGGCAGCGGAGGACAGTCAAGTGCGTCTCCTCTCGCGCGCTGGCCGGACTACAGAGATCCGTCTCCATTCCACATCCAGGCGCGGTGGCTCGCGGTGGCTCGCGGTGCAGCCTCGTGGACGGGCGTGATTTGGGGAGATGCGGGGAGGTGTGGGGAGGTGTGGGGAGATGCGGGGAGATGTGGGGAGATCTAGGCGCAGTTGCCCGCAGCCTCGAGGAAGAGGGCCTCGACGCCGAAGCTGGCCGCGTCGCCGCCCTCGAGCGCCGCGTGGGCGAGGGCGCAGTGCGCTCTCTCGAAGCAGCCGCCGCACGCACGCGCGTCCCGCAGGACGGGCGGCATGCGGCCGTGCTGCAGCGCCTGAGGGGAGGGGGGCGAGTGAGGTGAGGTGTGCGGCTGAGCGCGTGAGAGAGAGAGTGAGTGAGTGAGTGAGTGGGTGAGAGAGAGAGAGTGGGTGTGTGAGTGAGTGAGTGTGTGTGTGTGTGTGTGTGTGTGTGTGTGTGTGTGTGTGTGTGTGCGTGCGTGTGTGTGCGAGAGAGAGAGAGAGAGTGAGAGCGAGTGCCTGCGGTGCGCAGCCCGCAGCCACGCGGTTCCGGTGGATGATCAGGCTCTCGAGCATCGCGGGATCGGCGTGGACGGCCGACACGCCGCGTCCGTCCGTGTTTGCCATCTGCGAGTAGAGGAGCAGCCCGGCGGGCACGTGCGCCCCGTGCGCCTATCAGCCGAGAGTCGCCGAGGTTCGTCGAGGTTCGTCGAGGTTCGCCGAGATTCGCCGAGATTCGTCGAGATTGCGCGTGCGCTCCTCGGAGAGCAGCAGCGTGTAGACGAGCAGCTGCGCCTGGTGCGGGGAAGTGTCTAGGAAGTGTCCAGAAAGTGTCTAGGAAGTGTCTAGGAAGTGTCTAGGAAGTGTCTAGGAAGACGAGCAGCTGCGCCTGGTGCGGGGAAGGAGGGCAGGGGCCGCGCCGCGATTGGGAGAGGCGGCGGGGAGAAGGGGAGGGGGCGGGCAGGTGGGGCGGGGGGGGGGGGGGGGACAAATTGAAAAGAGGAGGACGATTGGGGGTTTA